ATAGATAGATAGATAGATAGATAGATAGATAGATAGATAGATAGATAGATAGATATTCTGTTAATCTAATTATAAGAGACAATGAGTTTATTTTTGCACTTTCTATGTCTTCCTTTCTGCTTGTCCATCATTTCCTCTCATCTTTGCCACTCATTTATTTTCCAGGACTTTGTGCATTCTGTTGTGTCTCACATCCTGGACATTATGTTGTTCTGTTTCCTCAGAAAAGTGTTGTTATCGCCTACAATGGGGAAACAGCAAGTTTGTCAAGGAAGTTTGTTGCTCCAACCATCACATTCTCAGCCATTCACAACCCAAACAAGCAGGTAAATCACAAACGAAGTCATGCCCAGTACACTATTTTTACACTTTTGAGACGTACATGACAGGGACTTTTCTTTGGAGAATACAGCCATACTGAGAGCCATCATGACTAATGTTACAGCCTCCAAGGCATCTTGCTGATTGATGCATTTTGTGAAAGTAGACTTGTAATATCTGTGTTTAGTGTTTGTAGGTGACAAACTTGAAATTTAAAAAGCCATATATAATGGCAGTACTGCAATGGAATGTTGGTGGACTCCGACCTTCCATTGCTGAATAGCAACACTTACAGTCCACACTGTGCCCACTTGTGGCTTCAACCATAGACTTAAGAGGATTTACTGAGTAAGATCACATTTACACGGAGAACCAGATTGCTACAGGTGGAACCACAATCCACACTGACAACAACACACTTCACAGACAAGTACATCTTAGGACGACCCTCCAGGCTATTGCCGTTCAGGTCACCCTGCACAGACCAATCACGATCTGCTCTGTCTATATCCCACCAAATTACCCCCTCAAAATAACTCAACTAAACGATTTAAAGCTCCAGCTCCCAAAGCCCTTTATTTTGCTAGGTGACTTTAATGCCCTCAGCCCCCTATGGGGAGACAAACCCATAGACCAGAAAGGAAAAATAATAGAAGATTTTTTATTCCATAATAACATCTGCCTCTTAAATGATAGGTCCTGCGCTTACAGAAACAGATCCACTTTTGGCACTTCATCCCTAGACCTCACCTTTTTTGTACCCCTGGCCTAGTCCCAGATCTTGAGTGGTCTGTGCTGGATGACTGCATGGACCCTTTTCCCAATTCTTCTTAACAACAATAGCCTCCAAAACGACCCGATTACAGAACGCTTCAACTACAAAAAAGCACACTGGGACGGGTTCGCCATTGAATGTTCCCAGATTCTGAATCCCACTTGCAATCTCAACTACAACAAATTCCACGAAACGCTTCTAGAAATATGCCACAAACACATATGAAAAACATCTCCAAAACCCTGCTAGAACAAGATCTGGTTCTCTGGGGAATGTGATGATGCAGTAAAGAAAAAGAAGGCAGCATACCGAAGGGCAGTCGACAACACCACCACAGAAAACAAAATGAATTTACTAAAAGCTGGAACTGAGACACGTAGATGCCTCGAACTGAGGCACGTAGATGCCTCAGGGAGAGCAAAAGACAGTCGTTCAGAAAATTAATCTCCAAAATCAACCAAGTTTTTAAAATCGCTAAAAAAAATTTGGGTAGATGCGCTGACATCATACGGCACGTCCAGAGGCCGGATGGAACCACAGCTGAAACACAGGTAGACATTGCAAACAGAATAGCTACATCTCCCTCCAAAAACTCATCCAAAGCAAACTACAACATCACTTTCCAAAACATCAAAACTAACAGAGAACAACAACACCTGAACTTCCACTCAAACAGCACTGAACCCTACAACTCAGACTTCACATAAGACAAACTAACATTGTGCATCTCAGACCTGGGCCACACAGCCCCAGGTCCGGATGACATCCACAACCAGATCATTTTATAGACACTTTCCCTCAGAAACACTTACACTCCTAGACATATGACATGTGGCGGTGGCACTCCTTTCCGGAGTCTTGGCGTCTCGCCACTGTCATTCCAATACCCAAACCTAACAACAAAGACCACACACACCCGTCCTGCACTGACGAGCTGTCTATGCAAGCTTATAGAAAAAAGGATTCACATGCGACTCTTGCGGTTTCTGTAGATGACAGGCTCGCTGACTGATCTCCAGTGCGGATTCAGGAAAACAAGATCCACTCTGAATCACCTGGTCCGCCTAGAGACCTTTATACGCAAGACGTTTGCCGAAGGAGGCCACATGATCGCCATCTTCTTTGACTTAGAAAAAGCCTTCGACACAACCTGAAAGTATGGCATTCTCAGAGACCTGCACGCTCTCGGCATACGCTGCCACCTCCCTGCCTTCATTGACAATTTCCTGAAGAACCGTTCCTTCCAGATTCGTGTCGGATCCCCCCTTTCAGACCCCCACCTGCAGGAGGAAGGTGTTCCCCAGGGAAGCATCCTTTCTCCTCTCCTATTCGAAATTAAAATAGATTCCATCGTTAAGACCCTCCAAAATAGCATAGACAGCTTGTTATACGTTGACGACTTCCTAATATGCTGTTATTGGAAAAATCCTCAACTAAGATCTATTCTATGGAAATGTAGCTGCACAGCTTGAGAAATGGGCAAATAATAACGGTTTCAAGTTTTACCCGTCAAAGAGGGTTGCAGTGCACTTCTGCCGATCAGGCAGACGTGTACTGCTGCTGGATTTGTCGCTATACAGGGAAAGGATTTCCATCCAGGACCAGGCTCGTTTCTTCGGCATTATATTTTGACGAGAAACTCATATTCGTTCCACACATAAAAGACCTTCGTGTGAGGTGCCAGAAAGCGTAGCGTTAAACGCTTTGGAAATTTTATCGCATCCAGAGTGGGGCGGGGACTCAAAACACCTTTTCCATCTATTCATCTCCCTTGTCCGATTCAGGCTTGACTACAGCTGTCAGGTCTATGGATCGGCAAAACCCTACGTCCTGAAAATGCTAGACCCAGTACAAAACCAAGGACTCTGCCTCGCCCTAGGGGCTTTCTGCACTTCTCCAGTGGAGAGCCTCCAGGCCAAGGCAAACAAACCATCACTCACACTCAGACGCACACAACTCTCCCTACAATACGCAATTAAATAAAGCTCAACACCAGAGAACTCAGCACACGAATGTATTTTCAGAACAAACCCAGACACCATAAACAAATTCCAAAACAACGAAAAACTCATCAAACCCTCCGGCCTCGGAGTCCTTGAGGTCCTTAAAAACATACAATTTTCCAAACAAGACATCCAACAATTTCTTTTCCCCGATCTCCCTCCATGGCGCCTCACCAAGGCAAAAATAGACTTACAGCTGACCTCACACACCAAAGCAAGCACAAACACCAAAACATTTAAGTTTTTCATATTCTGTTTTGAAATTTAAAGCAGAATACGAAAAACTTATATACCCCGGTGCGGAGCTAATCTTGACAGATGGCTCTAAATCTGACTCCGTTGTGGGCTCCGCTGCCCTATCCTCAAACAGTACACAACAGGAGGTGACTCCATCCCGAAGCCTCCATTTTCTCTGCACAGGCCATGGCCATTGACATGGCACTCATAGAAAATTCTCCTAACAATTCTTTCCTTATCCTATCTGACTCTCTGTTTTGCATCACCTCACTTACAAACTACACACTCTTACACACAAAAATAGTTAGGTTACAACAAAAAATGCATGCTTTGGCTGAAACCGGGAAAAGTATCATATTCGCATGGCTACTTAGCCATGTGGGTATCCGAGGAAAAGAGCAAGTGGACCTCCTGGCGAAGGAATCCTTGTCCCTTCTGTTGAGATCAACGACGAACACTCTACCACAGACTGACTTTAAAAATAAAGTAAAAAACTACACCTCCAGTCTGTTGGAGACGTGTTAGAAAAAACAAGAAGACAATAAACTACACAACATCAAGCCCAAACTGGGTCCGCGAAATCCTTCAGGCCTCTCCAGAAGAGACAAAGTTATTTTTACTCGATTACGCTTGAGGCGCACGTCCCTGACACATAAATACCTCCTTCAGGGAGATGAGAAACCGTTCTGTGTGCGAAACAGATTTTACCATTAGACACGTTTTAACTGAATGTCTATACTTTGGAGAGACCCGAAGGAAATATTTTAGATGCAAAAAATTGCAAGATCTGTTTTTTGTAGTTGATCCCAACAAAATACTTGATTTTGTAAAGGCTTTTATGGAAAATCATGAATAAGATTGTTTAAAATTTTATTGTTATTTAAAAACTTATTTTAAATTTAGAATTTATTTACATCAAATTTTTTAGCATTTTAGTAGAGGTGTTGGCCTGAGTGTACTCTTGTGAATAGAACCTACTTTTTTTCACTCGCTTATATGACCTTATGCAGTTGCGAGTGCCGTAAAACTTTTACTAAAACAAAGCAAAACTTGAAATTGTGTCCATTAAAAAGAATAAATTACCACTTTCTTGACATGTATTTACAATTATGTTTTTCACGTACAATTTAAACAATTTTTGCCTTTTTGAAATCTTTGTTGGAAACTTTTGAAATCTCTGTTGGAAACAGACATAGAAACTGCAACCTTTTAGTATGTAATGATGCCATTGATAATGGTCGGCTTTACCATTTGACAGGTGACAGGTCTGGACACCTCATCAGGTGGTTTGGGCGTGTCCAGTGACTCTGAGGGAAACTTGAGACTGTGGCAGACAGACACAGGAGAAGTACGGGTGAGTTGTGGGGTCAAGGCCACCAGAAATCTGGGGCTGGGTTGTTTGTAGCATACAGGGGTACAAGGTCATGGGTCCTGGAAACAGGCAACACAATAATATGATAATAATGATATTGATTAATGCTTTTAAATAGCGCACATTCACAGTCTTTAGCCTGCTTTATGCGCTTACAACTTTACAGGCAGTGGAAGATTGAAGTCAGGACTCCATTGTTGATTTTTCCCTTTACACTGTTGTTTTCTGTATTCTTGTCCATCTAGCTTTGGGAAACTACTTACATCTACTGTGTTGGCTATTACAATTACCCCATACTGACTCGGCCATCAGCATCTATAAAATTCCTTGGCCATAGGGAGGAGAGATTTTAGTGGAAGTTGGGCAACATTTAGGTTTATGAACATCGGCTACCTTTCTCTGTAGTGAATGGTTTACCGCTTTGAAATCTGTTCGATTCCCATGTTTGGAAGATATTATATTTAGTGTGGCCATTTCTCTGTTAGGATGCAGTTGTCCATTTACCCCATTTTCCTTTAATGATCTGAATTGTAGAGATGTTTAGACTGTACATAAAACTTGGGCTTCATGGTATACTGCTTTTGTTTCTTTACAGAGAAAGCTTGAGGGACACGTGGGTGATGTCTACACCTGCCGATTTTTCCCCTCGGGTATTGTGGTGCTCTCAGCTGGTTCTGATATGATGGTCAAGGTGTGGTCAGTGGAGACTGGAGCCTGTGCAGCCACTATGACGGGTCACAAGGCAGGTAAACCATAAGTACCTATGCCACTTTCTGTTGGGAGTTTTTCCACTTTATGGGTTTTGTTGGCTAGATGAATGGACACAGGGATAGATACAGCTGGGTACAGATAATACGAACATGGACAAGTGAAATTACGGATAGCTAGTTGGCCTACAAGTTACCATTACCTGATTAATATCTCTATAAATTTTTTCATTCTCGGCCAACCTGAATTTATGAATTTGTCAAATAATTTGTCAATCCCCGACATGTTTGAGTTGTTCATTCCTGACGGTACATCCCTCTAGCATGTGCAGTTCAAGATAATGTCCTGACAGTAACTAAGGACACAATGTTTGTTAAGGCAGGTGTTTTAAAATAGCTTGTTGTGAGTCAGGTTAATATATCAGCGCACTGTTGACGTTGTCTGTTTCAATGGGGTTTTTTCCCTCCTAGATCTCCAAGCTCTAGGTTCAAAAGAAAAAAGTTTGTCTTTTTAATATTATAATAAATAAGTGTCTATTAAATTTTTATTTTTCAACACGTACTGGAACCATCCACAGATCACACAGTAAGAATAGGGGGAAAATGTATCAACAACTTGGAGAACTTCATTTACATTGATGCAAATATATAAGTATATTTTCTTAGTTCATACTGCAAGTGATTTGTAGGTTTTAGTCAGTATTAATTCAGGGGCTGTGGTGTTACAGTGTACACACTAGTGCTGATGCTTTGTCTCTAACTAATCTCCCACTTCATTATCTTCTAATCACCTTCATATTTTATTACGTGGCAGCAATTCTAGACACAGCAATTGTAGATCGAGGTCGAAATGTGATAACAACAAGTCGAGATGGAACTGCCAAGTTGTGGGATGTTGGGCAGCAACAGTGCCTGACGACGTTTGAGGAACTCAGAGGGGATGTCAACTGCTGCTCTCTTGGCTCTCCAGAAAACTCCATTGATCTTGGACCAGCAAACAATGCCCTGAGTAAGATGACTAACTCTATGCCTTATTTTACGAAGGAAAAGATCTCTTTTCCACAACTCATTCTCGAGGCAGCATTCTGGAAGAAGGCCATTTTTTAAAAAAACAACCAATGTTTTAATGTATCAAGCCATGTTATTTGGAGATAGAGATAACATTAAGTCTTGTCACCTGGAGATAGAGACAATATCAAATCATATAGTTTGGGGACATGATCACAGCTAATTTTTTTTATCCAGGGGCATAGAGCACAGTTGATAATTTAATCTCTGGAGACACTAAAAACTCAACATTAAAGCATCTAGTCTGGGGACATAAGCAAAATGTAGTAATTCAAGTAAACCAAGTGGTGGCCATGAGTGTCCAGTCTCCACAACCATCTCTGTGTCGTGGTCTTTCTCAGGTGATCGAGAGGTCTCCACAGATGGGAAGATGCTACTCCTGGGATGTGAGAACAGATCTGTGCAGGGCTTCGGCTTGCAGTCCCGGGAACAGGTGAGCTGTTGGGAGGACTGACCACGGAGGTTGTGTCATACATGTAGTCCTGTAGCTTCCATAGCCTCCGAGTTTTCGTGTTGTTTCCCATGATAGAGATGGGTCCATTGTTTTTAGGGAAATTTTTTTTAATCCCCACCTCTCATTTTATTTTGGTTTGGGCTGAGATTTTAAAATCCTTCAATTAAATTATGATGGAAAGAGTCTTTAGACATTGCATAAAAGAAAAGGCGTATGAAAGTTTCAGGTGGGTGGTTAGCAGGTGTTCTTGTAGGTACCTGAAACTAAATTTTCAGAGTAGCTATATGCCAAATTTATCTGTTCCATATGAAAGGCCTATATCTCCTGAGAATTTTGGTACCATTTTTTAACCTGTCAGTTGATTTTTCAGAAAATGGTAGCTGTTCAAAATTTGGTCAAATTTGTTAAAGTTGCTCTCTGGCTGCAACCCCATGTTTGACAGATAATAAAAGAGTACCAAGGGCACCAAACATCTCCACATTAACTGAGTACAATAACTATAACATAGGTAAGGAGCCTAATGTTTTTCAAGACTGTAAGACCACTACAAATCAGTATTTTATCACCGCAAACACGATGATCTGTTGTTATTGTGACAAAAACACCGAGCGAGCGTTGACCCGGCCGGTACCCCACCAGCCCCCCCGCGGCGAGCGAGTCGTCTCTATACTGTAGTGTACTGAGCGCTCCCCGCGTGGGGGGTCACATGCTTTCCGAGTTTCGCGGAAGGAGTGATGAAAAACAGTTCCAAGCCGATTACTTTATTCTAATAGAAAATGAACTGATCTTTCTATTGATACCTTTTTTGAGCCTACATATTTCGTGTAAAAAATTATCTTTGAAAACTTTGACGACATTTAAAAAGTTTTCTAGTTAAACACCATAGGCCAAATATATACCACAGTAAAGCCCGTCCAAAGCTCTTCAGTTCTCTGCTAATGAAAAGACGGTATTTAAGCCTCTATCTTTCTGTAAAGCATTTGAATGCACGCGTGCCAATTTTTTAACCGGCCGACCTTGCGTTCTGACCGCAAGGGGCTTCGCTTTCCTCGGCGATTCTCCAGCTCCTTATAATCGGACATATAAACAATTTACACCATTGTAACAAGGAAAAGCTCAACTTTTACAGGATGTACGGCATTTGGTGTTTTATAATGAAAGAGCATAGAAACAGCGATCTGAATTACCCCGATTTCACGGATACCATGCGCTCGGAAGGCCGCGAGTGCCCGCGAGGCCGTGTTTACGCTACCTAGTTGTGGTGTGGTTAGCTCCTTCTTTCCTATAAAAAGTCTATCGTTCTTATGTCTGACTCCCCTGCTCAATATCAGTCGTAAGACGCAGTGTGCTTTTATCAGGTATGAGGCTCGAAAAGCAAAATAGTGACTTTCCATGAATTTTTTTTTTTTTAATCTTATGAAAGTTTGATATATTCTGCTTCCTTTAAGATCAAAATAAACAACTATAATCGATTATAAATATCTTATTTTGATTTATTTTGGAGGTGTGTGTGGTTTGTTGTGAGCTCGGGTGATGAGATAAAGGAATTTGGACGTAGCTGGTGTGTAGCTGTGAGATTATAAAACCACTAGGCTACCTTTGCTTCGACCAAAGATGGTAGTAGGGAATCTTTGCTTCAACGTTCTTCTTTTGCAACTTTTTAAAAAGATTTTGACCCCTTTTCGAGCTTGTATGATCTAAAATGTAAACAACTTGTGGTCACTGTGCTCGACTGAGCACTCTGATAGATTAAATAGGGTAAGAACGGTATAATTTACTCTTGGATTGACTTAAAAAGTTCATTTTTATTGTGTTTTAGTGCCTTTAAAAGATTAATTAACCTTCTTCTAGATCTCTCAAAGCAGGCTCCTTACCAAGAGGCCACCGAGGCGGTCTATGTGCGTGTGTGTGTGTCTTGGTGTGTTTGTGTGTGTGTGTGTGTGTGTGTGTTTGTTCTGGTGTGTTTATGGTGCTATTGCAAACCGTAAGCCAACTCGCAGCCTGCCGAGCGCGTGATTTTGGTGAAATGGGGATAACTCAGATCGCTCTTTCTTTGCTCTTTTGCTATAAGACACCAAATGCTGTACTCTTTCAAAAAGTTCAGATTTTCTTCATTATAATAGTGTAAGTTGTTTGTATGTCGGATTATTTGGAGCTAGAGAATTGCAGTGGAAAGGGAAGCCCCTCGTTGTCGGAATGTGAGGTCGGCCGGTTCAAAATTGACACCCATGCATTCGAATGCTTTGCAGAAAGATTGACGGTTAAATACAGTCTTTTCATTGGCGGAGAACTATACAGCTTTGAGCATGGTTTCCTGTGATATATTTTTGGACTTTGGCGTTTGGATAGAAAAGTTTTTAAAAAGCCTCTTAGTTTTCAAAGACCCTTTTTAACACGAAATATGTAAAATACATTATCGAGCTAACCACAGCACAGAAACAGCACTTCTTAAAGTCATGAATGACGTGCTTACTGATTGTGATTCAGGAAAAGTTGTTTTGCTGAGCCTTTTAGATTTATCAGCAGCTTTTGATACAATTGACCATCACATTTTATTGAAGCGATTGGAAGTGTCTTTTGGATTATCTGGGACTGCCCTTAGCTGGTTTTCTTCTTACCTGTTAAATCGTTACCAATCTGTTTTTATTAAAGGGCTTAAGTCATCAGATCATGCTCTTAAGTATGGGGTCCCCCAGGGCTCAGTCCTTGGTCCAGTTTTGTTCACCATTTATACTCAACCACTTGTCAAGTAAATAGTTGAATATGACTTAAAATACCATTTCTATGCTGATGATACCCAAATTTATGGTTCAACATTGTTTACCAGCTTAGATGAACTTGTCCATCGTGCTGAAAATTGTATTGCCTTAGTGAAAAACTGGATGAACAAAAATGAATTGATGTTAAATGATAATAAAACAGAAGTCATTCTGGCAGGCAGTGCAAAGTCTGTTAAAGAGGTTGACCATGATCACATTAAAATTGGTGATGCAAAAATTTTATTTTCAAGAAAAGTTAAGAATCTTGGCATCTATTTTGATTCTAGTTTGTCAATGTCGGCTGAGGTAAATCATCTGATCAGCTGCATGTATTTAGAAATAAGAAAAATTAGTAAAATACGTCATCTGATCAATACCAAGTATACTGCTTTACTAGTAACTAGCTTAATTTTATCAAAACTCGATTATTGTAACTCCTTGTTATCAGGAATATCACTGGAGAAAGTTAAAAGACTTCAAACTGTCCAAAACAATGCAGCACGTTTAGTTTTACGGAAAAGAAAGCGAGACTCTGCTAAACCTCTTTTACGAACTTTGCATTGGCTTCCTGTTGAGAAAAGGATTGTGTACAAGTTGGCCACCATATGTCACAAATGTTTGAATGATAATGCACCATCATATTTATCAAATCTGTTAAGACTGTACATTCCAACTCACAGTTTAAGATCATCAGCTGACAAAACAATTTATTTTACCATCTATGAAACTTAAAACAATGGGTGAAAGGGCATTTGAATACCAAGGCCCTAAGATCTGGAATGCTTTACCAAGTACGTTGAGAGAAATCAAATCTTTTGATTCATTCAAATGTCAGCTGAAGTCGTTTCTGTTTTTAAATTAATAAGATGAATATTTGGAATAATTTTCTTTAGTCAGAACACGTTTCATGTTACTGTTGTATGTTGTACTGTATTGTAAAGCGCTCAGAGCCTGTGTACTTTATTCGGGGTTGAGCGCTATATAAATGTCATTTATTATTATTATTATTAAATACCGGCTAAAAAAGGTACAAAATAAAAAGAACAGTTCTTTTTCTATTCAAGTCATCGGCTTGGAATTATTTAGCATGAATCCTTCCGCGAAACTATCGGGAACACTCAGTATACTCCAGTATTGAGCCGACTCGCTCACCGCGAGGGCTGGTGTGGCGCCAGCCGGGACAATGCTCAGTGTTTTTATTGAAATAACGACAGATCATTGTGTTTGAGGCAATAAAGTACTGATTTGTAAGGATCTCACTGTCTTGAAAAAATTAGGCTTCATTTCTTGGTTATAGAGATTGTATTCTGGTAATGTAAAGATGTTTGGTGCACTTGGTACTCTTTTATTATCTGTCAAACATGGGGTTGCAGCCAGTTAACGACTTAAGCAATATTTTGATTATCATGTTAAATTGAAATAGCTGCCATTCTCTTAAAATTGACTGAGAGGTAAAAGTATGGTACCAAAAGTCTCAGGAGTCACAGGCCTTCCATATGAGATTGATGAATTTGACATACAGCTACTTTGAAAATTTAGTATCTAGTACCTAGTATAATGCTAACATTTTGTTGATTTGACTTGGAAGTCCATTCTCGTGAAAATGTTGTTTTGTCTATAAGTTTTTTTTCTGTTTATGAATAGTTTTCTACTTCTGTGTGTTACCTTTTAGTGGCATAGCCAAGATAACTGGTAAAATTTCAAGTCTCTCTCTTGCTATGGAAACATGTTACTCAACTTCAGAGGCCATTTTCTCCTTTTCGTGTTTCTTCACCTCGTACAATTAAAAGTTCTGTACTTTCGTCAAATATTGTCATAATTACTTCTTTCTTTTTTAAAATTTTAGGGAAAAGGTGATAGTTTTTAAAAAAATAATGTTAACTCAGTTTTGAAATTTCCTTCATATGACTAATATTGACCGGCAAGGACACAATTATCTCTCCTTTTTCGTGTTTGTTACTCTCTTGTAATACCTCTAATATTTGGCACTTATGTGACCTAATTGTGTTGCAAGTTCTATAAAACTCTTACAAAAATGTTTACAAAACTGTTCATTTTGTCAAGTTCTGATGGTTTTTTGTCTGTAATTATACTTGTCAGAGAGACCTTTACCTTTTGTTTAACCCTATCTGTACTCCCTGGGGTCCTTTTGTACCCCCGTGGTTGTATTCTTCACATTTTAGACTACTTCTAGTACGAAGATCTCTTTGAAACTGTCAGCATTTCTCAAAAAATAATTTTGATAGACTGCTACGCAAGGCGTACGGATCAGATTAATGAGTAAATTTCCTCTTTGGAAAGTTATGGCACAGAGTTCCCCCACATATGAATTTAACCTTTTCAGTGTCAACCGTTGATATATATAATCAATTATATTATATATAAATATAAAATATATATATATATTTATTATGAAAATGGTACAGTGTGTCTCATGCAAAACATATACTTTTTTCACTCAATAGTTTCTCACTTTGGATTAGTCACAACCAGAATTTTCTTGTTGCTTTTTATGAAGGAAAATTTGGATACGGGAAACTAGAGAAAGGTTGTTTGAATCTGAAACTTTTTTCCTTGATTTCTTGAAGTTTCTTTAATTTGAGCTTGAATCTAGATTCAATAGTCCCCACCTAATAAAATAGGATTTGTAATAGATCAAGAAACAGTTTGTTTACATAAAAGAAAAAATAGCTAATTCATAAGGAATTATGTCCCTTCTCTTACGGTGAGTGAGTTTAGAACCTGGCATTCGGTGATATTGAGTTGACATGTCAATTTTTTTTAAAAACTTTTCACAGGGTAGCAGCTCAAATATTGTTCCTTGGGGTTTGGGCAAAAATGATTTTTTGACATATATATTCCAAGGCACTGGGAAGGTGTGCGTGCTCTGTAAAAACCTTAGAGTCATGCAATTTATTTTGTGAAAATACTCTTTAAATTGAAATTCCAGGTACTGTTTATGGTTATAGTGGTGAAAAGTCAATTTTTTGCTCCTTATAAATTAAAAAAACCCAGAGTTACGATAGTTATCTGTTACCCTGCGTTTTATCAGGTAGCTGGCCTCCTCAATGCCACATTAGTCTGACACATTTATGTCTCTCTGGTCTGGCTCAACCATGGATACCCCTCTGGAATGGAAAAAATCAAGGAGAGACTCGACTTTGACAACATTTTATCAAACAGCAAACTACGAATAAGTTGATGCCATCGAAGGAGTGGAAAAAATCTGCTCATCATAAGTTCCAACTTAACTGTGGGGACTTGTAAAGAAGAAGAGGTGCTGGGACCCAAAAAAAAGATCTACCTAACTGAAGACCAATTCAAGCGAGCATATTGCTGAAATACTATTTTGAGTGATTAGCTGGAGATAAAAATAAAAGGGATTAACTAACCCGACGGCTTGGGCTATGGATGAAATTAAATAATCCACCTTAATAATTGTTTAAAAGCCGGTCTAATATTTATTTATAAAGTTACTTCAGCTATCTGTTAAAGCGGTATTGGGCTGTAACAGACTTCTTGAGTGTAATCATGACAATACCTTGACTGCCTGTCTTTTACGCATCCATCCTCAGATATTTTGCCTAAACTGCGACTCTGCTGTAAATGCGTGCACGTTTGTCTCTGAAGTGTTTGCTGTGTGCGGGACACAAGAAGGACGCGTCTATGTTCTTGACCTCAGAAATACCAGGTACAATGTTATGTGTGTAGTTCAGGAGAATTCACTGATCAGAATAGATGCCTTATAATTATAACTTACGATTGGAAACATAACCTTGTCAACTTTTTTTTTTCGTTTTATCTTTTTCAGGGTCATAGTAAAACGTTTTTACCTTTCCTTATTAATGTTCATCTTTCACTCTTCTGATAGGTTGTGCTCATGATGCTAATAAGCAAAGTAAAAAAGCATGCGATTAGGTCGCTTGTTTCAGTGGGGTTGGTTTTCAGTTCAGTGTCATGAAGAGTGCTAGTCAAACTTTAAACGTGACCTCCCCTTTTAACATGCTTTTTAGTTAGTGAAACACTTCTTCTTATACCTGTAGCGTGACCATTTTTTCCTCTCTATCTGTTTCTTGTGCTCGACATCCTGCTTTTGTCCCTGCATTAGATGAGACCATCACTGGGTCAGAATTCAGAGGTCATTCTGTTTTTGTCTCTGCATGAGACATAATTCCCATTAAATCGGAGCTCTCTCATTATTTTTTTTCCTGTCAAAGTTAAGAACACAGATCGGATTTCGATTAAATCTGAATTTTTTTAAAGATGCCATTTCTGTCAGGGTGGAAGCAACTTATTGTAAATGACATGAACATTTTAGACTGATTTATTATTATTTATGTTAATTTGCAATATTTGCATGACTAATTGTGATTGACGGGAAAACACACATTTTTACTTGGCTGTATTTGTGAATCACACGCATTTTCCTCTGTCGCAATGTTAATCTAATTGGGGATCTGGAATCTCAAGTTTTTTTCTCTCAAACTTATATTTTTTGGGAGGATTTTAAGGAAAACTTCGATTTTTGATCAAGGAGTGGTTGGCACGATTAAGTAGATGATGTGACCATCAGTGTCAAAAGTCATTCTGTTTCTGTCATTGTACCAGGTTGACCGCTGCTGTGTTATGGAGGCTTATTTTCAACTCAAGCCACTCTTAGTGTCTTAGTTTTCAAACCATCTTAGAAATGGTATATTTGATTTTTACTGCTTATGATCTTTTCTAGGTGTGTGACTGTAAGCACATAGCCCCTAACCATCATTCATATCAGTAAATTATTGAAACATATATTATGTTTGTGGCTATTGTGAGATATGTGCCAAGTTCATCCTGAACAAAAGGATACCATAAAAATGGGATCTGTACATGTTTTATCCCCCTTTCCAGTCTAGTTTCTTTTGCTTTTATAAAGTGTTGTTATGATATAATAATAGTTGTAGCATTGTTTTGACTGTCGTAATTTTGAACTCTTCAATTTTCACGAGAGATAAATTGAGAATTTTGGTTGATTTTGGCGTCTTCTTTAATCCATCTAATCTCCCACTCAAGCTATACGTATATTTTGCTTTTATCATGTCAGACTTAAGGATATTGTAATTACTTTTTCATCAAGAATGACAATGCAGGTTGTCTTGAAGAAGATGGTCACTTTAAAATGCTTCACATCTAATACATACTGAATTTGATACTGATAGCAAAGATCTGTTGTTGATCCTCTTCCCCCCCCCCCCCCCCCCCCCCCCCCACTTTGTTTCCTTGCAGCACCCCACTAACCAGCTGGAAGGAGTCGCGGGGTCCAGTGCTGTCCCTTCTGGCCCACAAAGGAGGATTTTTTGTCTCTACTGGTAAGTATAAAGTATAAAAAATGTCTTTTCTGTGTTTTAAATTCCAGTATCTTCATCATACACTTGATCACTGGGCTGAATGGGGGTAAAATAGAGGTATGATACTTTGATTAGATGGCTGATCCCACACAGATGTTAGCAGTTTTGCAAAACCTAACCAGATACGCCAGACACTGAAAAGGAATGTTATAAATTCATGATATTGTAATTTCCTTGTGGAAATTGAGTCACTCAAAACATGATGGATGTAATTTAAATTGTACGACTTTTTATCTTCGCTGCTCGAGTTCGAGCGTAAATCGACAGTACAGGGGTGATTCAATTACCTTTTCAGGCAACGCCCCTTGAGATGCTATGAGTTTTAAAGTTTTTAGGCAAAATGGTTGTGACCAACTTTTACCCATGCTCACAATGTGCATTTTCCGTCCTTTGATTTGCCAGTTGAGTGATATTTCTGCAATGTATAGCACTTAAACTTACAGGTTTTTAGGGATCAGGTGCTATAAAAATTGTCACAACTGTTATTGTTATAATGGGAATTTTATCTTTAAAGCTGGTTTCTTGTCCATGTGTTCAGGTGACGGTTCTTGTTTCCATGTCAGTGATGATTGGGCCACAAGCACAGAACTTACTGGTTCAGATTGTGACCCTTTGTACAAAGTGTGCAGCGATGGCACCAGTATCTACACAGCATGTCGGGACGGGGCAATCCGCAGATATAGTCTGACCTATCTGTAAACTTACTGAGGATGCATTTGATTGGTTTTATGATTTTCAGTGCTGTCTTTGAAAATTGATGCTATTTTCTTGTGACATTAATGTTGACAGCTGCACAATATCGGTATCAGTTAGTTAAAGCTCATCATACTTCAGCTATCTTTTGTACCATTCATAGTCTCCCCTGCTACAATAAATATATGCCTTTGTCAGTTTGTTTTTTGGATTAAATGTTTGAAAACTAAACAGACCTTAGAGTGTGAATTAACTTTTTTTCTGGAAATGTAAGTAATGGGGATTTCATGTTTGTCCGTTTTCTCATTCACTGTCCTAGATAATGATTGGATTGTTCTTGTGGTGTCACCTAGTTACTGTTGGTGTCTGAATACAAAGTATGTCTTGAGTTCAAAACCTGACAGTTGGCAGTGATGAAAAAAAAATTTCTCCTTTCACCATAATGAAATATGAAATAATTCGGAAATAATGCTTAGTGACCATAGCCACCCACTGACATCGGAATTTCAACTATCGACCCGCAGTAAACGATACATTTCCAAAAAAGCAAGAACAGACAGATATAGAAATTCATTCGTACCAACTGCAGTGAGGTTACTGAACACACAGTGCTACAAATGAAAGAGAGAGAGAATGAATGTGTTACGGAGCGGGTTGTCCCAGCCCGTGAGACATGTATTTACTTGGCATAATGTCCTGTCTTGTTGTGCGTTTGCGTGAGTGCACCTTTAAGTCTAACTTTTGTAACGTCTACTGCCATTGTTAACGACCAAGACAAATTTCTCCCTGCGAGATGAATAAAGATTGTCATTGTCATTGTCGTCATAATCTCCATTTTCTCCCCCCTCCCCTTCCATCCCTGGCCTCTGGTGGGCTCCTCTCTCCTTTATTCAAGACTCAATCTACTGCTAAACCTGGCTCTTTCTCTCTACTATCTTTTAACCACACCCCTGATCTTAGGGAAGGTAAGGTTGGACCCTTAGTCTTCTTAGATAAGGGCAAAAAATCTCGGAGGTCCCGCATGCACATTAAGGTCCCTTGGTGATCCTAAAATTAATGAAGAGTAGGCATTGACTGCAACGCAAGCAAATATTCAAAATTAATTCCTACCAAAACTGAAAATACTGTAGTTGGTATAAAACCATATTAAAGTACCTTCAAAATCGGAGTGTGGCTGACTGAAGGCAGGGGGCCCTACTATTTATTTACACTTTGAGCCCTGACCTGAGGCTACCATGCCCCTCTGCCTGAGCAAAAAGTGGAAACCTGATATAACAGGGATGTTGGGAGTAGAGAAATTGTCCTGTTATATCCGATCCCTGTTAAATCAGAAATGCAAGGAAAGTGAGCATTTGTACTAATCCAGCTGTACTTATTCATGGGTAGTTTCCTTTGCCACAAGTACCCACGAACAGGGGTTTTGGCACCAACTCTCTCCATTGCCTCACATCTGAAGAGCTTGGTCCACAGCATCTGCATCGGGTAGTCTCATCTTCTTTCGATCAAGAGCAAACTTTCCAGTGGAGTGTGCTGCCACTATCTTCTCTCTATCCTTGATAATGGTATGAATCGACCCTTGTGGAATGTCGAACTGACGACAAATCTCTGCCAGTGGAGCTTGCTTTTTGTCAACGGCCTGGATTATTTCGTATTTTTTTGTCAATTGAAAGGCATTTTCTCGTGCGCTTGACATCGTTGGTGACACATTATGCGTGTGTGTTGCTAAGTTTCGGGCTAGATCGAGATCTGCTGCACACCGCAGCCCTCTCTCGCTTCACTCGCTGCGTGTGCTTGCAGTGGCATGGCTTGCATGGGCTTGCTCCATCACTGCGTTACTCTCTCTCTCTCTCTCTCTCTCTCTCTCTCTCTCTCTCTCTCTCTCTCTCTCTCTCTCTCTCTCTCTCTCTCTCTCTCTCTCTCTCTCTCTCTCTCTCTCTCTCTCTCTCTCTCTCTCCTGTTATTGCCAATAACTTCTAATAGAGACAAAGAGTAGGAAAAAACGGGGATTAAAAAATCCCTGTTATTACCGGGTCCCTATTATTACCGGGCCTGTTATATATGGTTTCCACTGTATATCACCAACATTCATACGATCATCAGAATCACAGTCCATATCTTACTGAGGTTTGTCCTCGTCATTACCAGCATCTAATTCACAAAGGTCTTCAAAATAATCGATAATCTAGCATCTGCGTTTGTTGCGGCCGCGATTTTTGGCATTCTTGATCCGCGAATCGCGGCCGCGATGTTTGCATTTTTTTTTGGGGGGGGGGGGGGGGACCCCAAACAAAAAAACCCAGTAACAACAAAACAACAAAAACCCACCACCGGGGAATAAAAAAATCGAGAGGAAAAAAAGAAAGAAACCGAAATTCTTTACTTTGAGAAAGAAAGTTTATTTTCACTTCCGCTTCGCTTTGTCTCTTTCTCACTTGTTGACACCACGTTGATTTATTATTTTTATGTGAAGAATATAAGTACATTACATACTATTTATATTTTTGTTTCTCTTTTATTTTTTCCTCTTTGTTGTGTTTTACTTTGTTGGTGTGTTAATTTTTTTTCTTGTTATTGTTCTGATTTGTTGTTTTTCTATTTGTTTGTGTTATATAGCGTTATGTAATTTAATTTGATGTTGTTCCTACCTTATATATATACAATATATACGGGGGTGTGTATATATATATATATATATATATATATATATATATATATGGGTGGTTGGCGGGTGCTCTTGTGTAGTTTGCTTCTTCTTTCCTATCAAACATCTATCGTCCTTATCTCCCCTTCTTCTTTTTTATGTTTGTTACTCCCTTGTAACTCCTCTAATCTACTGGCGCTCATATGGCCTTATGCTGTTGCGAGCGCCGTAAAAGTTCTATTAAAAAAGTTGTGGCAAAAAGTTTAACAAATAGCCAAACATACACGGCCAACGATTGTCAGTTCTAATTGATCTCTGATGATATGACATGATGAGCAGAAAACTGGACAACCCATAGCACAGTGGTGATAGCTGTGTACATAAGTAGGAGGTGGTCGGGGGACGGATGGTGGGGGCCTGTTGTAATAATCTGTCCTCAGAGAAATTCGCGCGTACAACCCGCAAGTTGCGCACGCAACTTTTGGCCTCAACGCAACTTTTGGCCTCAACGCAACTTTTGCGCAACTTTTGCCATTTTCGTGAATTCGCGAATTTTAAGCAATTTTCTGCAAAAGTTGGAAAAATTATAATTTAATTTCGGTAAAAATAACCGCAATTTTCTTCCTCAACTAAAATTAACGACGAGAAGGGGGGCAATTCTTACCAGAAATTAGATCTGCCACTTCTTTTGCACTACGGGGATGAGATTGTGTCGGGATGATAAACCGACTCGTTGCCTGAAAACAACGCCGCGTTTGTTTTTGAGGCAACGACTCACGAGTCGGGCGCGATCGATTTGTGCCACGATAGCCACTTTGCGCCATCAGTCTGTCGAGCAAACCGACCCATCCCGACCTGACCTCCCCAATAGTCCTGTTTGGACTGAATCATCTTCTACTTCTTCTTGATCTAGCTAAATCTAGGCTGTAGATCTAGATGTCTATAGAGTAAACTCAATCGTAAACACGATCGTCTGATTACAAGACTTAGCTTGCTTGGTTCCGTAGCACAAGGTAGATAGATCTAGTATAAAAATTTGTGAAAGACTTAGTCTTAGGCCAGGAGGCTAGATCTAGACATGGATCGATTCATCCAGAAAACCCCTAAAGGGGTCGTTCAAATATAATCTTACACCTGGAAAAG